ATCATCGGCTCCACGGAAAAGAGCATGTGTTTATTTACATGGCATGTGCCATGTGCCAGAAGTATTCTGTACCTACAAAATGATAGCAGCAGCAGCATTCAGTTCAGTTTCTGCCAGCCTTGGCTGGTGTTGACCAAAAAGTTATCATCGAACTTTGAGAGCTCAATCTGCTCCAATTGCGATGCACTGGATTCCACGAGTATTAACTCTTCAAACACCTTCAGGGGTTCATCTATCTCTATATGTCCGCCTCTCACACTTCTGTTCACATCTCTGACTGTTCCCTATTTCTGTCGCCTGTTGGCTCCTCAGGATCGCCCTCCAAGCCGCTCCCCGCGCCTTCTGCGCCCTGCGCCGCAACGGCACCGTGATCACCTGGGGCGACGCCGCCGGCGGCGCCGGCGATTCGCCCGTCCTGCCGTCGCCGGTGGTGGCGGTGCAGGCGACGGCGCGGGCCTTCGCGGCGCTGTTGCGGGATGGACGGGTGAGCAGCTGGGGTACCTTGGGCTAAAGGACACCCTGTGGCAGAGTCTTCCAAAGGTGCCGGAGTGCGTCGGCGAACGAGATCGACCGGAGTTTGAGCATTTGGGGCTATTGGCGAAGCCGAGTCAAAAGCTGGAAACAGCGAGATGTTCTTCTTTTGATTGGTGAGTTGGAGGAAGGACATGGCGGCCATGGTCATATGCAAACGCCGCAAACGGTCGACTCCACTTTCCGACAGATGAATACTACCCAGATTCCAATCAATTTTGGGGTCTGTGAGCAACTGGAGATTTATTAGCAGAGCTTCCCTCCATTGGGAGTCCTAGAGCTGACAAATCATGACGAGGGCCCGCATCAATCGACGCCCCAATCGAATTCTCGAATGGGTTGCTGAGGCCACAAGGACTGTGGCGGTGACTGCAGTTCAGTGGCGCATGAGCTCTTCCGGGTGCGAGAAATCCAAGCAGCTCAGCTCAAAGACTCAAAGACGTTCAACCAAAACACAGCTTGAGGTGAACGTAGATGGAGAGAGACTCTCTTTCATCCATCTTGCACCTCTAATTTTACTTTATTATGTTGCGTCAACTGCTGCATTAAAAACACCAAAAGGAGCATGGCCTAGAGCGCGGATGTCCATCGCTTTCGGATTTGGTCCGCGGATTCATCATGATTCATCCTGATTCATCCGGAACCCCATGAGAAAACCGGCTCAACCCCGCAAGGGGGTCAACCCCAGGCTTAGCCCAGGCGTACGGGGGTCAACCCCCAGGCAAGGGGGGTCACTTCCGAACCAAACGAGGGGTCAAAGAGTCGAAAGCACCAGGATGGACGAGGCTTCGGACACACTGGAACACCCGCACCACCAAGCTGGATGAAAAAACCAAAAACCTTCCCAAAAATCGTTTTTTTACTGTTTTCTCCAAATGGACGTCCTTCTCCAACCTCGACATGACTCGATCCTTCGGCCCGCCGCTCCGTCCCCGCGTCGTCACGCGTCGCGGAGAAACCGGTCCCAGGCTTCCACCGGCGCCTTCGCAGCGCTGCGGCAGGATGGGCGCGTCGTCACGTGGGGGTCCAAGGAGTTCGGTGGCGACAGCAGCGCGGTGCAGCAGATGCTGCTGGATGTGCAGGTGGTGCAAGCCTCCAGGTGCGGCACGTGGGGTGGGTTTTTGGGGAGGCCGCCCTTGGGTGATGAACCGCATATTTTAAGGCTATCCAGTCGTCTTCTATCACATGGCTGGTATCCAGTCGTCGATTTTCGCATGGCTGGTTTTGCAGGTCTGGATTTGCCGCACTGCGGGAGGATGGGAATGTGGTGATCTGGGGCCCAGACTGTGCCCGAGCTGCGAAGTGGTTTCGCGCGTGGCAAGGTGGGAAGTGGAGCAGTGGCTTTTACAACTTGAACCTCTCTATATGCATTGGGTCTGTGCTATTACATGTTAGGTGGTTTGAGGGGTCAATGTATGGCATATGGAGTCTGTCCCTGTAAACTTGTAACAGTCCGTACACAATTATCACTATTTTGTAGAGAATGGCCCTTAGTAACCATCATCATCCAATGTTGGTGATAGGATAGACCCAATCTATACCAATTAAATCTTTGCTCAGGTGGTTTTGTCTTTTTGGATTCTTAGGAAGAGACTAAAAGACTCGTGAAAGGCAAGGAAAGAGACACGTCAAGCATCTCTGTGTTCAGCCTTTTTATTGAAAACGAAGGGCTTTGTGTCTACCACACATACCAGTGATACATTGGCTTCCATGTCCGTTCTTTTTGGGATGACTTCTCAGCGCTTCAATCCCTGGATTTTGGCAAACAGGAAAGCATTTCCGGGGAAGCACCTCCTTCGCGGCTGTTTTCAAGACATTGATGAGTCACTCCTGGCAACGTCCCTCTTGATCCACAAGCCGCGTGTAGGACGCAGTCCAAGGTCCTCAAATGCTGTCAGTCACGCTCAACGAGCCAGCAGAAGAGAAAGACATCAGCAAGGGCTTGTGAACATTCCGACCAACCCAGGATAGAATCCCTTTCCCTAGAGTCAAATCCTCATTCAGAATCCTCTGCCTATACAGGTGTCCCAGTCTTCTCCGACCCCCCCCCCCGCACCTCGCAGCGCTTCTTCGAAAAAGAACCTCGAACCTCAGCTCGCAGAACACGAAGAACGAGGCGACGCGACTGACACGAATGACGCGACTCGATGGCGCTCACTCCGCAGGTGATGGCGCTCACTTCCTCAACCACCAGACCCTTTGCCTCTCCGACTCTGAACGCTGAAGTGACGGGTTTTCCCGGTCGATGGCCGGGTCCCCTCGCTTTTCAAAGGACGGCCCATCACGAGAGGAAGGACGCGAACCGAAAGGTTTGTGATTAGAGACTAAGACCAGAGACTAGGATCACTGCAGATTTGATGTTTTTGCTTGATCAACTGCGATCTTCAATCTGCGACTCATTCCTGCTTTTGATCCAAACTCTTCGGTGCGGTAGGTTCATCGTCGCCACAATGCCACATAATGCGGGTGGAGTGGTCATGCCCATCTGCAAAGTTGGATGGATTCTCTTCCTGCGACTTCCACTCAGTGGTGGCTGTAAAGAACATCCAGACATCAAGAACAAAACCTGTGACACACTTAGCAAACAACATTCAGCCCACATTTGACCTTTTATTAGCTTGGGCCTTGAGGAACGAGGCCTGCAACACTCCTGCGGATTAGCAGCTAGCAGCCAGATATGATGCAAGTTTTAGATGATCACCTCCAATATTGGCACTCCCAAAGATGGGGTGCACAAGGCCCAGCGCTGTGCGCGAAAGAGTGTGGCGACTGGTCAAAGGTGTACTGGATCGCCTCAAAACCCACCACAAAACCTTTGTTGCTTCAGTCTTCACAAATTCATATAAATTCTGGATGTTTTTTGGGGTTGTCACTTGCTATGTCAATGGCACGGGGTGGGGTGATTCTTGTTGCCATTCTTCAGGTATTTGCTGCCAATTGAAGAGAGAGATTGTCCATCTTTGGGAAAGCGTTTCTAGCAAGTGTGGCCGGATCAAAGATGGAACAATTTCAAGGGCAAGTGCCCCTTTGCAAATGACGTGCCCCTTTTCTATCAACTCCAGGATGGATCTATGCAGGATCTATGCAGGATAGTAGAACGAGTTCCAACGTGCACGAGTTCCAGTCCGTTTTCCACCCAAACCCAGGTCCTTTCGCCAGCTCCGCTTGGGAGTCCTAGCTCGCCCTGAAACCCTGCTTGGACTTCGTCCCTTTTCACCTTCACCACACGTCGATCCGCCAGACCGCGGCTCCGCTGGTGGAGCTCTTACGGACACAGCTCTGCGGGAGGTGCCGACGCTTCCGGTCGACTCGGACATCTGGGGCCCGTGGAGCCGTGAAGGAGGGTGAAGCGACTGGGTCACACAGTTGAAGTGACTAAGTGATTTCACTATTCCAGTTGACGAAGTGACATAGGATTTGCTATTCCAGTTGACGAAGAATTTTGAGTATATTTTTGAGTTGAAGTGGTCACCTAGTCACAAGGGCTTGCTGTCTTGCTTCATCTGGGTTCTCTAGTTTCAGTTGGGCAATTGGGCAATGATTGAGTCTTTGTAGACTCCACAAGCCTTTGGAGGCGACTGGTTGCAGAAGTAGTATGGATCGCAAGACCACGGTCCCCACCATGGCCGATGGCCTTCTACTGGTTGGTTGATCAATATAGAGGATACAAACCTCCCCTATGAACAAGCAGTATACGATTATATGGGATATGATACATGTGTTGTTCCACCCCTATATATGATTTCCATTTTGCTCGGACATCATTGCCACAAGTTTGGCCTTTTTTTGCAGTTCACCATCTCAACCTCAGTTCTTGATGGTCCAAACCTCTGTTCTTTCGCCTTGGTTCGAGCGCCACAAGACTCGCTCAGTTCGTGGAACCTTCGATGTAATCGCCGCGAACTCGGTCGGCTGATGACGTTGATGTTCGTCGTGACTTTCGGCGGTCGGATGTTCGATGTGTTTTGGTTCGAATCGTTTGGACTTTCGTGCAAAACGTGTGGATGGGCACAGAGCTCAAGCCAGCTCAAGCCAAAGTTGCAGCTGACCATCATGAAGCAATCCAGGAGCCGAACAACACAACCCCGCAGGAAGAACAAGCGGTTGACGGACATCAGTAGATAAGATTGCCATACTCTTCAAATGTTCAATTACATTCAAACAAACTTCGCCTCTCGTGCCAACGTGACAATTTCTGTGTCTTTGTGGAAGCTTCCGAGTTTGGCGAGGTACCTCGAAAGTTAGAGGAACCTTTGTCAGATCCTCAATAACTCGGACAAAAGGAAAGGCCGGCTTTTGGAATGCGAAAGTCACTTTGTTGTTCTTGGAAGATAAAAGCATACAACGGAAAGTACAGAACCTAGACCAGACAGACCAGACAGACCAGACAGCCATGTTTTCACTTACAACTTACACCCCAGACAAGCTTCCAATTCAAATGCCCAACGACATCTTCTACCAGCTTCCAACGACCACCCTGGTCGGACCCAGAACCAGCGAAGCCGCGGCCGCAGCTTCGCCACCGCACCACGTGCAGCATGTGAGTGTCATGTGCTCCGTGGGGCAGATGACCCAAATCCTGCAAACCACCTTCAAGGGCGGTAACCGACGCTTGGAGCTGGACAGACCGTCCGAGGACAAAAACCAACGGAGTCGGAGCATTTCGGGCATTCGCTCGCTACGAACGGAGCAGCGATGTTCATCCCCAGCCCTCCGGAGTCGTCTTCGCCGAATGGGGTCGAAGGAGGGTGGGGATCGTTTTGGAGGGTGGTGTTTTGGATGTATCTGGATTCCACTCCGCAAAAGCTTTTGGAGCCCGACTCATACTTTTTCCGCGAAAATCGTGGAGTCATGTCCCAGTTTCCAAAGTACAAGCTCGAGCTTTCGCATCGTGGTCACTTGATGCACCGTTTTGGACGCCGTTTGCCCAATAAGACGGGGATCCAAGTGAGTTGTTCGTTGAACATCCAACTGCCCAAGTAGAGGGGCACTCGGACTGAGCACTCCGTTTTTCACCGGTACAGTAGCAGTAGCAACCGTTTTTCCAACTCAGATCTCAGTTGAGCATGACACTTTTAGCTGGCGCAAGAAAATTCGGGCCAGCGTTTCTGAGGTCTTCAGGGCATCTACTTCCAAGTGGATGTTCTGGATGCACCTCGCCGAAACAGAACGAAACACACCCTCGAAAAGAACATCCATGTCTACTTAGGGAAGACATTTGCAACATTTTGCAAATATCACATTTGAACAGATTATTTTTAGAGAACTGGGCCTACATCTAAGGCTGCTTAGAATACACAAGACAACGTCCTCAAGTAGGAAGAGGAGCTGATTGCTTGGGCACCCCATCTCGCTCTTCCAAAAACCCCAGCCGGTCGAACTCTGGCTTGTTTTTTGAGCGTCTAACCCTGGTCCTTTTGCGACGGCGAGCACTTTGGGTTGGCACCTCAACACCACTAAGGTCCATTGAGACTTTGTTAAGATTGCGACAGCGAGCTGTTGATCAACCCATTGTTGTTTCCAGTTCATCACCCGACCCAAGTTTGCTTTGATGATGTTGACTTGGTCAGAGGTGAACTCGGCAGATTGATTCATTCAGGTCATATCATATACTGCCTGGGGCTGAAAAGAACGACGAAGTACTGCGTTTGTCAAGTGATGCCCCTGTTTTTTTTGTGTGGCACCTCTCAGAAAATGATGTGCATCAAGGAACAAACGATTTCTAACAAGAAAAATGGTTTCGTATCAACCACAAAGGATTCTTGATTCGGTCCCGTGGTTCCGCATACCCCCCATCCATTGCGGGTCGCTAAGACAGCGAGCGTCGCTTTTGGTGGGGCAGTTGGTGGAGAGAAGAGGCCGAAAGGCAACAGTTCCACTCATCAAGTGAGCTGACTGAAGGTATATATTTCCTCCAAAGCTATGGTTTTCAGTCCTTGGAACTGCTTCAGATGAGACACTCTAAGAGCCTGTGGCCATGTAACGGATGAATGTGTGATGGACATCCACTATCTATTAAATGCCCAACTCTTGCGGGAAAAACAAAACACATACAACGAACTGGTTGATTGTGTTCTACCCTGAACCGGCGCTGGGTCATGCTGGGTCATTTCCTCCAGCACCGCTGGCACTGCCAATTTCCTCCAGCTTGAGGACATCAATCTGGTGAGTTTGACCGGCAACCGGGCCGAAACATAAGCTCAGAGAAGTACGTGTTGTGCGTGATTTCGGATCTGCTTGAAAAAAGACGACACATGTGTGAGCCCTTGGGCGAACCCTCCAAGAAATTGGAATTCTGCAAGGGGAGAAAGAAAGGATGGGATGGGATGGGATGGGATGGGATGGGTGGATCGATGGATGGATGGATGGATGGATGGACCACCACGCCAGCGCTTGCCACTTGTTCAAAGGCTCCTTCGCCGATGCGGGCCACGTCTACGTGCACATGCGCAACGGCAGTATCGGCGAGCAGGTTGGAGGCGCGTATCGATTTAGCCGGGCCTGGTGGGCTTGGGCCAGGAGGGGGTGGCAGTTGGTGGCAGAAAGGAGGTGAGTGGGGAATCACAGCAGTTTGGCGGCAGCTTGAAGAAGGTTTTCAAGTGTGGAAGGAAGGTGTTGGATGGCATGGTAGCTCTCTGGAGCTTTTTGTTGAAGTTGAATACTGGCTGCGAAACTGGGCCCTGGATGGCAGGAGAGTCCCCAGTCTCAGGAGGTGGGATGAGAACAAACCATAGGGGAAACCCCGAATCCGGACTCACCATGTTCTGGGCATGCCGTCCCCAAAACCGAAAAATACACATGGCCATCATGGGGGTTCTGGTTCCAACAGTCAACCGAGAGAGAGAGAGAGAGCTTGCTTGGCCAGGTAATTGGCGGCTCTTGCTCTTTGGCGAGACATTGGAGTTTAGGGTTTAGGGGCATTTTGAAAGGCTTGTAGGGGGTACAAGATCTGATGGGGCATCGGAGTGACTCATCTTCACCAGGTGAAGGTTTGATGCCCGTGATGGCCTCGCTTCTGGCCCGTGTGTCCAATCGAAGGCTAGTGCACATGAACGGTCTCCGGTCCCGGTCTCTTTGTCTTGTAGACCACCCTGTCCAGCAGACCACCCTGTTCCGATGGACCCAGTTCATTGGTTTGAAAAACCAGGTGAACACCCAAGAACCCCCAGACTAGACTCGCCCTTGTCCTTCTCAGCCCTCAATCCAAGACATGTGGTTGATTTCAGACTTAATGTCCATGCAACTTTGCCAAGGTTCTTGCTTGCCAAGGTTCTTGCTTGCCAAGACTGGTCACTGTGATCTTGCATTCTCCCTTGGGGTTTGAGGTCACCGCTCGATCTCAACCACGTCCTGACAGCCCCAAGGCAATCAACACCGGTGGAGAGCGGCGGACAGAAAAACGTGCCGATCGGGCAGGCAGGGTGGAGTGGCTCTGTCGTTGGCTCCGTGGGGGCTTTGGTGTCGTTTCCGGTACCGTCATTTCCAGAACATGTTCGCAAAGTTGATGGCCCACAAGACGGCAGCAATGTCCGAAAACAGACAGTCGACCGATGGATCCAAGCGTTTCTCTCTCTTCGGTCTTTCATGGCCTGGTTGGCGGGTGGTCGAGCTCAGAGCCGGTCCAGGTCGCAGGGCCCTGAGGGTCGCCCCGATCTCCCCGAGCTTTCGAGGGGTCTGGGGGTTTGGAAGGGTCCGGATGCGTAGCGTCGCGCGCTGCTGGCGGAAGGGCTTCACAGATCAGCGAATTTTGTCCACGGCACCTGTTGAATTGGTTTTGGCTTGTCTTTCAGTTGCCATGAATTCCATGCGAAGGAAAAGGCCGTCGCAGGAATTCCATGGTCAAACATCGCTGGGTCTGATTGACAAGGTTCCTGGCTTCGTTGGGGGACTCTCCACTCAGTGATCGAACGAACTCAGAAGAGGTACCTCTTCCAAAGTGGAGGTTTCCTCCTTGGCCATCCGAACTTTGGGCCATCCACGTTTTCCCATGATTCTTCCAGGGAGAGATTTTGGAATCGAGCGGATAGTGTGCTATGTTTGCTCCTCAGTTTTTACCGGGTTCTGCTCCTGAGTACAGTAACTAGAGTAGCTAGAATGTGTTGAACTAGCAAGCATGAAAGCAGCTCCTCATAATTGCTATGTATATATAGATGGTTTCAAGGCTTAACAGTTTTTCTGGGCTTGGGGCTTCATGGGTGGCCCTAGCCCGTCTGCAACCACTTTTTTTCCGAGATTGCAAGGGTTCAACGGGGGACTCCTTGGTCTTCTCCTATCATGTGAAGATCCAGTGCTAAGAGTCGGCTTTCTTTTCTCCTGATGTCCTCCAGATTCCACAGGTCTTTGTGCGTGGGAGCTACACTCTCCATGTGGCGTGCTCCTCTTCCATCATATACTCAGTTTCTTGGCATTCGTCTTGGGTCTGAAGATCATGACTATGGTGGGCCGTGTTCCTCTATTGATTTACTTATTTTTGGTTAAGTATTTTGAATGAGGCAAGTTGGTGATAGGAAGAGTAGATAGACGGCCGGTCTTGTGGTTTCATGTGAGCGATGATCAAGCTCTGGTTCCGGCGAGCTGCTAGCTGCTAGCTTGCATGTGACCCTTGTGTTGCGACCCTATCCACCCAATGCTCTTGTAAACATGTCGTATGCGTTTGGTTGACCGGTATGAACCCTCTTGTTGTGGCGAGTACATGGAGAACACTTTTTGTTTTGCATGACCCACCTTTGTGGAATGCCGCCTGCCATGAACAAACATCAAGCTCAGTATACAGAGAAGATCTTGCTGCACTTCAGGTCCAAAACAGTTGGGCCAACGACATTTGAAGTTCTTCTACCGTGAGAAACACATGACTCAGTGGACTCAAAAATGACTAACGATTCACTTCTTGCCTCGCTTGCAACAAGAAGCTACTAGGGGCTCCTGGCATTGTTACCAGGAGCGATCGGACGCTACGAACGGGGCTCCTGGCCGTACTACTAGTAACCATGTTCGCAAAACGAACGGGACCAGTCCACCAATCGTGCGATCGTCGTGCATTGGGCGGATTCTTCTCCCCTTCACGCGATTCAAGGGGCCACTCTGGCCACTCCGGCCGGGGACGGGTCGAATCACCTAAGGATGCACTCTCCATCCATGACGTCCTGGCGCAGGAACCGACGTGTTCGGTTTTTCATCCTGATGAGTTCCATTCACCCCCCAATTCTCCTCCTACTGAGTAGGTCCCTCTTTTTCACCCTCAGAGAAGCAACGAGGATCCACGCTGCACGCAACGTCCCGCCGGCTTCGCCCGACGAAGCCGGCTTCGCCGTCGCCCAGCGCGCGTGACGCATCGCCCAGGGAAGTCGCTCACCAAGGAGAAGAACATGAGCAAACCCAAGCTACCTCTTCCGAAAACAACATGACATATAATAAAATACAACTATATAGATACTATATTAACATATTGTAAGGGCTCCGCCCGGGTGCCGCCGACCCCTTTTCATCTCGAGGGTTTGGCGGTTGAACCTTGACAACTTCCTGGGATTCAACAGCGAGACTTGGATGGGCTTCACACCAATGCTGGCATTCAACCAGCTGCCGAGAAGAGGGCAAGGCTGCGGTGAGGCTCTGGGGAGCGTTTGAAGCCGAGCCAAAATGCCTAACGTTGCCTTCGGAAGCCCATAAGAAGAGAGGAGGCAGGCTTCGGACAGGCCACAGAGAGGCCGCAAGAGGCCTGCCGGCTGCCGAGAGGCTTTTGAAGCCGGTCCAAAATGCCTAACGTTGCCTTCGGAAGCCCATAAGAAGAGATGAGGCAGGCTTCGGACAGGCCACAGAGAGGCCGCAAGAGGCCTGCTGGCTGCCGAGAGGCTTTTGAAGCCGGTCCAAAATGCCTAACGTTGCCTTCGGAAGCCCATAAGAAGAGAGGAGGCTTCGGACAGGCCACAGAGAGGCCGCAAGAGGCCTCCCGGCTGCCGAGAGGCTTTTGAAGCCGGTCCAAAATGCCTCACGTTG